CTTTTTTTTTTCTTTTTTTTCTTTTCTTTTTTTTTTGATGACAATCAACAGTTTTGGATGATCATATTATCATAATGAAAATCAGCCTCTCACACTCTGAAAAAAGAATACTTACTTCCTTTTAACAGGGGACATTGAAGGCCAATAAGATGGCATGCATCGCTGACGCTTGCTTGGCCTATCTGCACTCCATTAAACTCTGCACTGACAAAACATTCGATGATCAAAAGATCTTGCGCTGCAGAATAAGTGGTAGTTATATTCCGGTCAAACTAAGGAAATCGTTAAATCGAAAATTGATCCAAACACCTAAAATATGTATGGGATGTTTATGGTTTTGCTAATCGTATGCGAGATTTACAAGAAACTAAAGATCGTTATCTCCAAACTAGACGGATCATTGCAACGTATGAGTTTGAAAATACAGAAAAAAATAAATCAATTTCCAAGATAAGAATGAAAAAAATAAAGACATGACCATGTTGGGTGATATAACAAAACATACTAAGAACGATTGCCACTACGATTACGATTACACGATGCTTACAACGCTAGTGTGAACAAGGCTTAATAAATGAAATACCAAACATCGATAATACGATTTTTTTGTAAAGCTTGTCTTATAAAGGTATAAACAAAATAATTGACAACAGTTTCGTGGAGTGAATACTTTGGATTTTAGTTTTTTGATGACGTTACTGATGAAAGCCAAGAATAGTTTCTACTTACAAAGTATCGCTGCCCCTTCCAAGGTCACTATCTGAGAACAATCGTCCACCTTTCGTGGAGTTACTGTGGCATTGATTATCTCAAAAAATGACTCTCCTACTATTAGAAAAACAATTAATATAGATTAAACACGGGTCAATAATGTAGGAATAGTTGTTGAGATAATTGCTGATGCAGTTGAAGACCAATTAATAATGGTAATTGAACTGAGTGGAGTGCAATTTGGTCTGAAATCAAATGGGAGTAGTGTGAGTGCGATTTGTAACTGCAAGTTTGATTTCAGACCAAAATTACACGACACGAAATTCAATTGCCACTTAATCATATCCTTTTTGTAATCATACACAAGAAAAAGACACAATAAAGAGTGCAGAATAATCAATTTAATGTAGTAGAAGAACTAAATACGAACAAAAAAAAACCTTTTAAAAAGTTTTCTTGGTTGTTGATTTTTTTGTTTTATTTTGTTTTATTTTATTGTTTAAAAAAATATTTTTAGGATGCGATTAAGAGCTCCTAAGGACGCGATTTGGGAATTAATCGCACTCCTCTGAACCAATCAGATTGCAGGATTTGGTAGTGATTACAAAAAGGATATGATTAAGAAGTGAACCAACAGTTCAAGCACGAGAGAAAAATATTTATTCCAGAGTCCGGAAAAGAGAGAGCTTATCCTTTAGAAAAAAATTCCATGACAATATTAACCGTTCCGAAGTTGAGTAAAAACCTTGGTTGAGTTGGTATTTCAGTGCATTTTTGGGACTGTTTTGGGGGACATATTTCCAACATTGCATTTATTTTCTTGTAATTCTATAATATAAAATTAAAAAAAAAAAAAAAAAAACCAGTTTAAATAAACTGAAATTAAAATGAAATTGAATTGAATTGAATATAGAGGTTTTGAACCATCACATGACGGCTGACATGTTATAGACGTGGCAGGAACATTGCAAACGTTTTACTCAAGAAAGAATTCAATTCCCAAGAGCAATGGGAATTTATTCTGTTCTCCTATGTAAATCACAGGCAGCCCAATCTGTAATATGGGTATGGTCGCGTGATGCTGCAAAACCTCTACTTTGTCCGCTAAAGCGGCCCTAAAATGCTCTGCAGTGCCAAAGGTCGCAGAATTATGAAAAACGCTGTAAAGCAATATACCTCCACAGACAACCACAGATTGGTTTTTAAGGTGGTCATTTTCTATAGGTGGATTTGGAAAATTATACCACCCTGCATCTCCTTGACTCCATGCAACATTCCACTCGAGAAGTAACGCTGCGGCTGTATATGTAAGCCATATTCCTTTGATGAGAGAGTTCATTCTAGTAAAACAGGATTGAAACAAAAGTGTATTAGCTCTCAGTGGTTGGAAATATTTAAAATGGTTTAAAATGTAAAAATACTTATTGCAAGCCCACTTGTTATCTTTTTGTTAAAGTTTGTATCTTTTTTTCCAAGTGTTTTTCAATTTCAAATGAGGACACAAATATTGATTGTGTGTGGGTTCTTATTTATGTGATATTTCAAGTCAAAATCAGGAAATATATATGCAATTGTAGAATATTTTTTAAAAATCCCTAGCTAGTGTAATTCCTACCTTTAACCCTTATTGCTTTCTTCCTTCAATGGTATCCTTCATGAAGCACTTCGTTACAAAGACTAAGCACTAATGCACCGTTTCTCAAAAAATAGATATTATATCATATCGCGGAAGTGAAACCTGTCATTCAATCATTTGACGGCTTCAGTCAACATCGTTATTTTTTATTTATCTTTTAAACTTAAAGTTATTACGAAATTTTTATCCTGCGAACAAAAAATGTATTCACTAGATGTTGGTTTCAAACCTTCCAATTAATCAATAAAACCGACTGATTATAGGTTCAATCCTAAATGCTCCAGTTTCGAGTTAACCCCAGTTGGGCGTTAAAATATTCATCTACTCAAAATTTGTTTAGTCTACGGAACAATACAAGTTTAATCAACTTGTTCTGTAGTGAGTACATTCCTTATTACAGCGCAGTCATTATACTCGTACAACATGAACATGAAAGAAGTATCATCTATCTGTTTTTATAAATCGACAAATACTAAATATCTCTCAACCAGAACACATCATTTTTATTGTATGCATGGAGGTATTGAACCAGCACCTGATACTTTCATCACTTTATTTTCACGGGCCAGGAAGTAATAAAGTTTTCTTCTGAGTGTCATTAATAAAGTTGCCTGGTAAACGCTCATGACTGATTCCGAATCAGCCTATTGTTATTTTGCAAATATTTACTAAGTCTGCATCTAGCCGACATTTTGGCGTTGTTAAGCTCTAATTATAAATTTGATTTATTTCACGGATATAATAACTGCTTTGTACTATAATGGACCCTAATATAAAAAAAAAGAGAACAAATGTAGTACAAGTATACAAACTCGAAAAGAAAGCATGCAGTAAAAGTTTAGAAAGTCAATAGAAAGTTTGCACGGAAGTCAACATTATTCAACCAACTACCTACGAATCGAAACTACTTATTTGCAAGCTTATTCTCTACTTTCACATCCCCATAATACTTTGCTTCTTTGAGGGGTAACCAGAGGGTAAAAACCCACTTATTTTGCTGAAGGCTGATCAGACAATGTTGACAATACCTTGTTTGGTATCCAAAACTAAAATGAAGAAGTAAGAAACAGAAAAAGATAGAAGCTTGAAGACGCTTAAGGTAAATTTWAAAAWTTTTTTCGTAAGTCAATACATTTTCTATAAGACGAAAACTCTTGACACGCAAAAATAACTTGGAATAAACTGATAATCAGTGTTGTACAGATAGAAGCAGGTATAGTATAAATTCAATTAAGAAACCTTTCAATTTGGGACAGTTTTTTGGATGGTTACCCCCCAAAGATGCGAGGCATTATGGGGATATGAAAGTAGAGAATACATGCAAGTTTCGTTATTCGATTCATAGTATACCCGATTCACAAAGTACATCACGAGCATACGACTGGTAAGCTTGTCCAATTTTGAGTTGTTTTTTATACATATTCTTTTGTCGCTTTGTTCAATTATTTTACTTTTTAGCAAATTTTTGGTTTGTAGCTCAGTTACTTTCGTATAGCTGACAAATTTGGATGAGGTCCCTACCTTACACCTTAAGTGTATATCAAGGAAAACCGATAATAATTTTCAAAATCACTCATATGTGAACAGTGTAGTAATATGGTTGCAGTATTTTTGTATGTGGTCTTCTCGTTTCAGAGATATAAACATTTGAAATATTAGTATGCAAATGAGATGACGTAGCTTCAAGACTAATTTATTATACCAAAATGCTGTTGTGAAAATTACTGCTGTTTTTCTATCATTTGCAAATCATCTTTATAACTGAAATATATGGTTTTGTACACTTTTAGAATATTTCACTTCAGAACACTTGTCGTAAATTACACTGAAAATGTAACACATTCTTGAATTTACGTCATCTCATTTGCGTATAGAAATTTCAAATGTTTATATTTCCAAAAAGAGAAGATCACATACAAAAATATTGCAACCATACTACTATGCTGTTCTCATTTAAGTGATTTTGGAAATATAATTTTTTACTTGACATACACTTTAAATATAATTTATTCCTCTGTTTTTTTGTTTTTTTGTTTTTTTTGAAAACTCCTCTATTTGACGATTAAGGATTTCTTATGGAAAACTATTTTGATTTTAGTATTTTTCAAGATGACTACGGTGCAGCACATGTTATTTGTTCTTCTTCTGCAATTTGCGTGTTTGGAATCGTTCGATGCAAAACAATCGATACGTTCGATGAAGCATACGAATGGCTCTCACCCATGCCCTCAACCAACCGTGGGAAACTGTTCCTGTGAGTGGACTGGACCCTACGTCAAGGTCACGTGTGTTGGGCTCGACACCGTGCCAGAGAAAGTACCAGAAAGTGCATTATACATGTAAGCCAGTTATTTGGCTCACACTCTTTAGAGTGCGAACCATATATGAAGGTCTTCAATTGTCAGTTAACTTGCAAACTTCTTCAGGCCACGTGTCATTTTGGTAGCAGGTGTGGCGTTCGCGGCAAAAGCGTCTTTCACCGCTGTGAGTCCAACGGGTTGGGGTGCTGGTTCGATCCCTGCGGTCGCCACATGTGAATTGAGTTTGTTTGATGTGTTGTTCTCTCCTATGCTACGAGGGTTTAGTCTTCGGGTTTTCCAGTTTCCTCCCTCCGTAAAAATCAACATGTGAGTTGAGCGTTGTGTGAATAGAATATTGAATGAGCGAAAAGTGCCCCCAATTAGTGCGAAAGCGCTAGAATGACTAGACACTTAAATAAAAGTGATTTATGATCTGAAACATGTAAAGTAAATGAAGGTTATAAGGTATTATTAGAATATAGATATAGTTAAGATACATAGCTTTGACTATTAACTCTAATAGTTGTGACTTCAATTTTTGGGTTCGTAACACTAGACCCAACTCATTAGCCCAATCGCATTCTCGTTTCCAGAAACTACTTATTAGTCAAATCGTAGGCTTTGGGAAGCCCTACTGGGTGACAGAGCGCATGCTCTATCTCGGGATTGCTGCCTATAGAATGCCAGCTCAACCTTCCAAACGGCTTGTTTACGCTTTCTATTTGAAAAAAAATTCGACAAATGGAAGGTGGAAATGATTTCAGATATATAAGGCCGTTCTTGACAATTTGTTCTTTTTGGTTGCAGTTGGTATGTTGGTTTATCCTATTGACCAAGCAGAGTTCGTTGCTATCGTATTTTCTTCACCAGCCAGTGAAATGCGATAAAATTTCAGGGTTAACCAAATCCTACGATTTTCGTATAAAGGGGGTCTGGGTACAAGAATACTACAACTCCATTCTCGTTCCCAGATCCTCCTCGGTTGTCATTTCTCCCGGTCAGAGGCTCTGGGAAACCCTATAACTGTGAGCAAGGAATATTGAGACCATGTCCTCGCGGCGCATGCTCGAATTCTTTCCAAGACAAGCCAAGGCAACCATGGACAAGCCTTTGACTTTGTGAAATCTACAAATGGCGAACAAAAACATCTATTTGTCTTCGATTATGCAATCAAAAAGTAGATCTATTGTTCTTCTTAAAAGCCAATCAAATTGCGAGAAATTGTAGGGTTTCCCAGATTCTCTGACGGGGAGGAACGACAACCGAGGAGGGTCTGGGAACGAGAATGACTACAACTCCTTCTTGCGATTACATTTATGTAAGCTTTCTTGTTAATTCTTTTAACTAGTCATAAATATGGGGCAACGATCCAAAAGTTTGAAATTCTATTTAGAAAATTTTAAAACAAACATAAGAGACAAATGTTATCCGTAATTGAACTTCAATTGCAGAACATTTTTCAACGGAACCATCAAAGAAATTCCCCAGAACTTTTTTCTATCCTTCAAGAACCTCATTACTCTGTAAGTAGCAATATTATTACTTAGTGAAAATACGCAGGTGATTATAGAAAATCTCGTGCGCTGATTGGYCAAGAAACTCACACTATCACACGATAATCACTTCGAGCGAAAATCCGAATTGGCGGCCAGCCGCTTAATTTGTTGTTGTTACCGGGAAAAAAGATGCCTTTTATCTTCTTTTTTTTTCTTTTTTTGAAAAAATCACCTGTGTATTTATACTAAAACAATTATTTGCCTCRGGCTCAGTGAAGACTCGAAGACTCGCGTCTCGGTAAATATTTACCGATATTCACTTGGCCTTCGGCGAATGATTGTTAAATAAATCTATAAAGTCGTTTTCACGGTATAATTCACACGCACGCAAAATAGCACTTAGTCGTCTTTTTTTCCCTCTTTTACGGCTATTTCAAAAAAAAGTTGAGTACTGAATACTGCATACGGAATAGTGCATTCCAGGGCATCGTGGGTATCGTTAATTTGAGATAAAAAGTAAATATACAGCAATTAACTCTCTACATGTAGTTAGTATATTGTTTCAGATGAAATACACTAAAAATAGAATAATTCAATCATTATTAATCCTACTTAAGACAATGTCACTATGACCCACAGTGTACTTCGGTCTTGGAATGCACTATTCAGTATTCAACCTTTTTTGAAATATTGACAATTGGGTATACCCCCATTGGCACCCTCTTGTTAGCAATCATTATTTCAAGGTCTCAAAGATTAGTTGTCTGTTTGGAAGATTCTTGCCCTGGTCAAACCGATCTTGGTTTTGTTTGCGCTGCTGTGGGTGTTCACTAATAAGCCAAAGTTGATTGCGTACTCAGTGGCCTTTACGTTATTATTTCTGGAGACGGGATCGCGCTGTAGCGTAGTCATACTAGCGCTAGCCACGCCTTTAGAGAAAATCCAGTATTTGGCACATAAATTATTCTATATCTCGGCCGGGGAGGGAGCCTTCCAAGTCAAAGTCCGAAGCGCTACCCATCACACTATCCAAAAACCAAAGAGCAAACAATGAGAGCTAGAAGTTAAGAAATGTCAAATTCATAATCAGCTGAGGACTTTCAGCTGTAAACAATGAAAAGGATGTTCTCGTGTTTCTTACATTTTACCACGAGTTTTTACCGTTTTTTTCATTCCTTTTCAGAAACCTCAAGGAAAACAAAATATCAAACAAGTTTAAACTTCCAAAAAGCTTGTTCAACTTGTAAGATAATTTTAGTTTTCTTATAGTGTTATATTATAAACCGCCGGGTAGGGGGTGGGGAGTGTTTGGCAGTGGATTGAAAAATTTTGCCAGTTAGGACAGGTGGTCGTAAAGGCTTACGTACCGGCTCCCAAAGAGGAACTATCTTTTGTTATGACGACACCCCTTACCTCCCCTTCCCATAACGGTTTTTGCTACCTCATGATCATTTTTGCTCATTTTTGATTTTTGATCTATGTGATTCCCTCCCATCCCCCATCCCCCCCGTCCCCGCCAAGTTCTCCGGCTTTCTTCCTCTTCTAGGCTTTAAAAAAAATGCCTGTCCCTGGTTGCTCATCAAACCAAAAAGAACCAATGAAATGCAAAAACTCTGAATTTTTTGAATTTTGTTTTGTCTGTTTGTCTGTTTGTCTGTTTGTCTGTTTGTCCGTTTGTCTGTTTGTCCGTTTGTCTGTTTGTCTGTTTGTCTGTTTGATTCTTGTTTTTTTTTCTTTTCTTTTTTTTCAGGTTCCTAGATAATAATTGCCTAAACGCATCTACTATTTTTGGAATGTTTGATGGTCTTACCAGACTACGAGCCCTGTAAGTTACTCTATTTTCAATGAAACAACAATGCAAAGGCTTTTTATTATTTTACAATCTACCGGTTTACTTAGCACAGGGTGCGTTAATTAACAAGGAGTTCTGGGATAACGGACAAGCTCTTTTAAATAGAATGTGAACAACATTTATTTTCTTAAAATTTCTGAACTTGTCACCGACATTTTAAGGTCTAGTGGAGTGTGGTGGAATGAACTCTATGTGCTTATTATATGCATGTCTTAAGTGTGATTTATTCATTTTAGTCATTTGTCATGGAACCCACTGGGGGAAAAACTCGTCCCTGGCACATTTTCTAGCGTTAAAAATGTGATTGAATTGTAAGTACTGCGATAATATTAGGCTTTGATAGTTATCTAAAAGATATAGAATCATACTGATCTAAAAAGGAAATGATTCATGTTGCATTTTGCATGTTGCATGTTGCATGTTGCATGTTGACACACGGTGCAACATTACACGCAACATTGCAAGCAACAAATTTGAATCGGTGTGACAGACATTGCAACAAAATCACGCAACATCGCTTGAGTCGGCCTGCTATGTTAAGATATTTGGTCAGCAGTTATAAGTTTGGTGCAAGCTGATTGGCTGGAAATTGTTAAATGTTGCAGGTAATGTTGTAGCCATGTTCACATGATGAAATTTGTTGCGCGCGATGTTGCACCGTGTGTCAGCACCTTATTAAGTATTTCTCATGAGTTATAAAAGTGAGTTAAACTGAGCTGATCTAATCTTAAATTTACTAACGTAACTAGTAATGCTATGATATTCAACAGAACTTTGGCGAACTGCTTGCTGGAAGATGTTGGAGAAAATATGTTTTTAGGACTCACCAATTTAAGAACGTTGTAAGTGTTTTACCAATTATTACTTATTATCAAAAATAATAGACAAGAAGCTAAAACTGGTATTTAAGCTATAAGTAATTGGTATTGTCATCAGCAGCATTTTCATTGTAGATCGTATTCACATCAGCCAAAAAGCTAAAATGTAAACATTTTAACGATACGCCACAAGTACAATCTATAGAGCGTTTTCAACAGAAACTTACGAGTGGTGAGCCTGGTTCACGACTCGTACAGGTCGTGAACATCATTGGTATGCATAAATCGTGAATACTAATAAATGACGTCACATATTGATGAATTAATGAATAATTGAGAGTTTGAAGTTTAAGCAGCTGGTGAAAAAAGTATATGGGAACCCTGTGGTATTGTCTGCATAAATTATTGACTTAACGTTTTGGCAAGATCAGAGGGGTCTAAAAATTGGTACGGGTCGTACTACTGGTACCACTCGTAGAAAGCATCTACGACCCGTGCATGTCATTATTCATTGGTGCAAGTGGTGAACAAAGTATTTGGGAACCCTGTGGTATTCTCTGCATAAATTGTGGCAATTAACGTTTTCGCTAAATCAGAGGGGTCTAAAAATTGGTACGGGTTGTACCACTGGTAACACTCGTAGAAATCATTCACGACCCGTGCACATCATTATCTATTTGTGCAAGTGGTGAAATAAGCTATATGGGAACCCTGTGGTATTGTCTGCATAAATTATGGACTTAACGTTTTGGCAAGATCAGAGGGCGATAAAAATTGGTACGGGTCGTACCACTTGTACCACTCGTAGAAAGCATTTACGACCCGTGCATATCATTATCCATTGGTGCAAATGGTGAAATAAGCTATTTGGGAACCCTGTGGTATTGTCTGCATAAATTATGGACTTAGCGTTTTGGCAAGATCAGAGGGCGATAAAAATTGGTACGGGTCGTACCACTTGTACCACTCGTAGAAAGCATTTACGACCCGTGCATGTCATTATTCACTGGTGAAGATGTCGTTGAAAGTGGAATATCTGTCGATCTTAGAAGTAATTTATAAAGGTAGCTAGAAATTAGGGTTTAGAATAAGACATTATAAAATTATAAAATTTTCATGAGATCCCAACGTTCTTAACTTTATGATGAGTGTAAGCTTACTGTGATAAAAATATAAGGATACAGAATTTAAGTCTTCTAGATAATCAGTATTCGAGCGAGCCAATTTCGTTGAACTCGGCATTTCCAGTAACTTTGATTGAGGGAAGCCAAAAGTCCGGGAATATGGAGGCGTCTAGATCGCGTAATTTTGAAATTGGGGAGTAATTTCGCCAATGATAGTTAGCTGGTTAGTTAGCACGTTATATAAAGTTTCGTTTTACCGACGAAGCAAAAACGACTGGAATGGATCGAAATGCATACGAAAGAAAATGAAACGAAATGAAAGAAAGGGAAAAGAAAAGAAAATATAAAAGAATGAAAGGACAAATATAAGTAAAAAGTTGCAATTGACACTAGAATCTTCATTCCTAATTTTCTCTCCCTGTAATATTAATGGGTATATTCTGACCTCATCAGGAAGATATTTGGAAACAAAATCAGGACCTTGAAAAGGGGGGCATTTCGTGGAATCAGTTGTCCAAAAGGAGAAACATCACTAACGCTGTAAGTATGAAAGCATTTTATATGGGACATTATTTAACAATTATTCGCGAATGCGAAGTGAATATCAGGGATTAGCATAAACCTACTAGCATACTATCACGAATCCTGCAATCTGATTGGCTAACGTACTCTCTATCTATCCTGCGATAGCTAGCGAGTAGCGAAAAACAAACAAATGCATGCTCAAGTTTCGTCGAAATCTCTGTTTGTTCTCTCAAAAATCTTTAAAAATTGTAGAAAAGACAAGACTGTATCAAGGAAAGGAATGGAGGTTTTGAACGGTACAAATAAGTGAAAACTGAATAATTATGTCAATTTTAACACGAAAAAGCGGAGACAAATTATTTACATAATATGGAAGAAGGCGATAAAAAAGAAAAAAAGAAAAAAGAAAAAAAAAGAGAGAGAAAGAGAGCTTTGACAGTAATAATAGAGACAACAAGACCCTTGGCTCAGGGTGTGCTGGGATACCTGGTAAAGATGGGCCTGGTTATGAAATTTAGGCATGACATCGAAATATGTGATGTGATTGCTGGAAAGGTTGCACATCTAGAGAAGTAATGTTAGACATTTACACTTTTGGGGTCTCTGTGTTGTGATTTATTGATGTTTTCGATGAAATAAATAAGTGGGCTCTTTGAATTGAGTCGATCAGTGAAACTATATAGAATTTATTTGTGAACACTTTCTCAGAAAGAAAAATCAAAACAAACCTTACTCATCAAAGTCATCGAACAACTCAATCTGGAACTCTAATTCCAGTTCCGGTCCGGATTTTAGCATACGTAATTAGGTTTCATGAACGTGCACATTCGCACGAAAATTGTATAGGTTACTTTAAAATCAAAATGTTTCATTTAAAACGTAAATACAGGCTAATATTTGCTCAAGATCTCTCTCATAATTGATTTACATTTTATAATTTTATAATTTATTGATATTTTTAATGAATCACCTTCTTTTTGAAGAAAAAATAAAGGAGATCATAACGCTTCGAACGGGCAAAGATAAAACTCTGGAATGTGCGTAGCAAGTTATTTATTTATTTAATTTGCTTAAAATAAATATTTCTATGTACCTCATGTTCATTTGTGAGTAGACTTTGAAGCGAAAACAAGTTCAAGAGTATAACGAGTCACGCTGAATGAATTTGTTTAATATTATCGCTAACTTGAAACCCTGTTCTCCTTATCGATCTTCGCTTGTTCGTGCAGAAAATACTGCTCGAGTAGATGATTCTTGAAGAGTTAACCAAAACAAGCTATTGCCATGAAGTTCATTGAAAATCCTTAGAAATAATCGCTTCGAAATCTTCTCGGCTTGAAATCATATCCTTTACGAAATCTTGATAAATTAATATTTCTAGTTCGGCTGTTTTGAATTACAGTAGTCAACGAAATAGAGCATGCGTAGACACAAACCTCTATTACGTGATCTGCTAGCTCCGCCCTCTCATAATCACTTGACAGCACAATGACATTGATTGACATCTGGTACATGATAATTGATTGGACTATAGACGGGAACCCTATAGCAGATACCCGCAAAGGTCTCTTGGGTAAGTTCCTAAAGACCCCTGGGTACTATTGCGCAACTTGTTCAATTTGTGGAGCAGGAATCAGAAAAAAAAGGCATTTTATGGCTGGTATATCACAGGTATCCCAGCAAAAAGCTATAAAAATAGAGCAAATATGAATGAAAGTTCGCAAATATGAATGAAAACAGTGCTGCCGGTTGACCGTCGCTTTGTACACTAAAGTCTTCAGTGCCATTTTTTGTTTTCAATACTATAATATTAGCTAGTAGGTTTATGCTAAAACAATTAGACTACTCGTTCTCGTTTTCTATGAATCAAATAGTCGATTCGGCACTACGCGCCTCCTCGACTATCTATTGACTTATAGAAAACTCGACCTCGTAGTCTAATTGTTAAATAGTACTTTATAATCTTTATCTATATCTTTTATTTACTCGGTATTAACGTATCTTTTGTAGAATACCGTGGGAAATTTTCACGGGTTTAGAATATATAAAGGGTAGATCTGAAACATGTAAAGTAGAAGAAGTAGACGAAGAGCTGACGAGTGATAAAAGCAGTTCACCCGGTACCTCTCTCTTGGGCGAGTGCTTTTTGTTTATTAGCTATTTGTTTATGTGTAGTTTGCACCACTCAGACGCAGTTTAAAGTTAATATTCGACTTCTTTTTTCAGACTTTCTGAGTGGAAACTGTCACCGAGAAACCCTTAAACACAAACGCAAATAGAGTAATGATGTTTCATTTCTGATATTTTTAAGGAAACTTGTTGACAATTTGATTTCTCACATCGAAGACGGCGCTTTTGAAGGCGTTCATGGCCTCTTTCGACTGTAAGTTATATTAAATATTAGTATAAAAACACGGGTGATCATTAAAAATCTCGCGCGCTGATTGGTCGAGAAACTCAGATTATCACAAGATAATCACCTTTAGCGATAATCCAAAATGGCGGCCAGCCGCTTTGTTGCTGTTACTGGAAAAAAATGTCTTTTATCTTCTTTTTTTTYCTTTTTTTGAAAAATATCGCACCTATGTATTTATACTAAAACAATTATTTGCCTCAGGCTCAGTGAATAACGGGAATAATAACCTCGCCGCTCGAAGACTCGCGTCTCGGCAAATATTAGAGAGTTTTAGATTGACTTTTTTTTCTCCCCGCAAACGGCAAATGTGACCACGTTTTCATAGTTTTCCTGTATTTTACTTTTCTATTTACAAACCTTCTCACCAAGCGCAAATACTCTTTTGTTTCTACTACTTGGACTTTTTTGCGATTCTTTTTCAGTCATTTAAAAGAATATTTTACTGGTCAACTGACATTTCACGTTTGCCGTGAACGTAAATCTAAAACTCTCTATTCCCCGATATTCACTTCGCCTTCGGCGAATAATTGTTAATTACTGAATAATTAACAGTGCATGCATTCTTTTTAAAAATCCTACTTAAAGAATAATCGAACATTTCCCTTTTACTCATTTGCTACAAATAATCACGTGCTGATATATAATAACGTGAGCTGTCTTGGTTCTATAAGGACAGTCTTTTAAATAAGCACCTTCTAGGAAAAATCCAAAAAAGGAAAATGGAAATTAGATTTCAGACATTAATCATTTAATCATTTAATTTGCTTATTTTATTTTTATTTTATTTAGTTTTTATTTAGTTTTTATTTCCTCCTTTTTTTTATTTTTATCCTTTATTTTATTTATTTGGTGAGCCTTAATACCCAGCCGTATCAGATACATAGTCGACTGATAAGTTGCTTTTTTATCATTTAATTTTGCAAGAAATGCTCAAACTCTCTCTCAACTCTATCGTATACCCGATCACCACGCACGTTCTTTGCTGAATTAAATGATGATATATTATAAGCATCCAGATTTAAAGCGTGATTGCGCTTGATTTTATAAAATATGTCGATAATCTGAGAACGGTTTTGAAGTTTATTATCTACGGAGTATTTAAATGTATTTATTATTTTCACCCCTAAATCAGCCATGAAGCGAGTACGCGCGGAATGTTACCATGACTTTGTGGATGTGATTCCTAGGTGAGAAGCTGGGAAGCATCATGAATTTTGAGTTTTGGGGAAATGTGTCAATTCATGAGAAATATTGGTTATGAATGTTTTAACTTATTACAGTTGTTGGCTATATGGCATTAAGTTCATCAGTTAGTGCTAGGGAGAGCCTAGCATTTGCAAGCAGTTAATGTGATGTATTTATAAAATACAATGAATCACACCTAATACAATAGATAGAACGACAATAGAATAGAATAGATTTACTGAATGCATTACATCAACTGTGTGCTATGTAGGTTTTCCCGAGGCAAAACTCGTGTTCCCAAAACTTAACCATATATGAGGTGGATGGCTGCTTTGGCGGTAAAAATGATATATTATTCAAAAAAAAAAAGTATAATTTAATGGTAAAATATCGTAAAATAAAGTCCTTGTAAAATTTGAGGCAACGCTTATGTGGGTCCGCCAAATCCACTAGGAATATTGTCAATCCCGAGGGATTTACTGATTTATTTTTCAATGTTTTATAGGTCTCTAGATGGGAATCAGTTATCCTCCTTCCCTAACCTAACAGGATTTCCAAAATTCAGTGATTTGTGAGTAGAATGATGATTGTAACAGGACACGAGTAATAAAACGTCTGCGCATGCTCTAATCGCGTATGCAAGTCTTTCAACCATGCCTGATAAATGGACTTCCCAAAATGCCAAAATTTAGAGTCAAAGCTTGAAACTGAACCTCAGGTTAATTCTTCAATTTGCCTTTATTAATACAGTATCTTGGTCTCAGAAAAATATTCTCGCAATTTTTTTTGTTTTGTGTTGTTTTGTTTTGTTTTGTTTTTGTTCGTTTGTTTGTTTTCTGTTTTTTGTTTACTCGGAGAAAAGGAAAGCATATTGACTCAAAATCCCTTGAGATATGAATAACAATGAAAAGGCGAAGCCGCCATGTTGGTTGATCTAACAAGAGAAGTAAGCTTGTGTAAGTAAGTAAGATGCGGCGGCAATGACGTAACATGCACTTGCTTTATAAGTTTAGAAAACGCGCTGAAAGGCACGCATGCGCAAACGTTTTTCTCTGGTGTCTATTTATAGTGCACGAGCTCAGTAGTACAGTAACAGTAGCGAAGAAATATCAACATGATAGTTCTATTACTTGCTGGTTTTCAATCGTTCCGAAGAGAATGAAATAACAAAAGACACGACAGCCATGTTGGTTGATTTAGCAAAAGATATACTAATGACCGAGGAATCTTTCGTGTAATTCATCCAATATGGCGGCTGTGAAAACCATCAATTCATGGTTCTGACTCACCTTAGTTACCGTTCATATGTCCCACAGGCTCAACAACAGACCTATCCCGAATTCGATTGACTGACCACGAAAAATGGTTTGAAGTCGAGACTGAACTTGATTCTTTTATTCATCAAGTTCGACCTCGACTTGAAACCATTGTTTCGTGACCAGTCAAGCGAATTCGAGATAGGTCTATTTAGCTCTAGAATATCTCAGAAGACTTTGATTACGGTGAATTGATTACAAAATGTTTCTATCGATTACTGTCTAGTAAAAAGAAAATTACAATCTAGATTTAACAAATGAGAGTTAAATTTCAGTAAAAAATGCAAAAAACAAAAATAAAAGCAAAAAAAAAAACAACAAAAAAACAAAA